TTATGATTTAGCTGATGAAATATTAAAAGAAATTTATGATAATAATAATGATAATAATAGTGTTGGAAGTAGTATCAGTAGTAGTAATAATAATAGTAATAATAGTAATAATAGTAATAATAATAATAGTAATAATAGTTTAATAAAAAGATTATTCAAATTTTCCGAAATTAAAAATCATGATAGCAGCAGCAGTGGTGGTGGTAGTAATTCGCAACAGGTACACAAATCACATCCAAATGCACATCATACAAGTAGAATATTAGATGAAGAGATTGCTAAATCTAAAATCTTAAGTGATGATAGTTCATTAAATAGTCTTGGTTTTAACTCTCTTCTCTTAAATGCCGAAGGTGAATAAAAATTTCATTATTAATTAATTGGAATTATTACTAATAATTTGATTGATTAATAAACATTAAATTCTAGTAATAATAGTAAAAGGAAGAATTGATGAACAACTAATATAAATTTATCTATCATAATTATTTATATTTTTGTTTTTTATTTTATTTTTTAAAGCTAAATTATTTTTGAAATAATAAAATTTTTACAGTTTTTTGATTCTTGTTAAATAGTGATATTACAAAGTATCATCTTGGTTAATTAACAATCATGAATTAACTTTTGGGCTACTTTTGTCGATTAATTCAATGCTTGCACCTAGACAAATTTGTAAGCACACTTAATGGTATCAGATAATTGTAAATAAATAAAGATGGCCCTTTTACATAGCTCAATGGCTTCTATAAAGATTCTTTTTTTTATTCACTTGTGATCGATTTATTTCAATCGTTTACATTTATTGGCTGATTGCAAACTCGCTTTTGTTTATTTGCGAAAAACTTGAGTAACTTGTTTAACTTATGTTTAAATTACAAGTATTTCCGACTAACCTTTGGACGATACGATACTTCATTAACGCTCATTATTTAACCGATGTTAGTCCTAACCTTGCTTGCTCACTAAAGCAAATAAAACGTGACCTTTTACCAAAGCTCCATAATTGCTGCCTTTTACCGAGGCACTAACTACACTTGTTGCTTTTATCAAAGAAAGAAAATAAAGACAACGTTTTGTTTTTAAAAGTTTATAAATTTATCACAAAGTTTTATTTTATTAGAATGTTAATTATCTCTGCTTTTTCAAGAAGTTATTACATTCCCTTCTCATTTCAACAAATCTATGCCCTTTATGTACAAGTAGGTGCTGTATAGATGCAGAATGAACACACACGGAAAAATACAGTTTTTGATACTAATACTAATACGGAAAATGTACTTTCTTCATTTTTTTTTGAATTTTCTGTATTTGTACTTTCCATATTAGTATTAGTATTAGCATGGCTTCTGTGTATTAAATACATTTTAATACGGGAAAAATCTACTTTACGGCGTTTTCGTATGTTTAGGTACTACAAGCATGGGAAAGTTCATTTTTCCGTATGTATATTTCGTATTAGTATATAATTTTTACAAGATGGGAAGTATAAGAAAATTGCACTTTAACGAATTTTATATGTGAGACAAAAATTTTAAAAATTTATTGTTAATCATAATTCGTTTAAACTCTCTGAAACGAAGATTATTTGTATGTATTAGATAATATATCTATCCAAATTTATGATTCGTTGAGTTAATTTACTTATATATTAGGTAATATATATTGGTATCAAAAGCACGATTTGTACTCGTATTCGTTTCTAACCGGTTTTGATTTTATTGAATTTACAAACCACTTTTTTTGGGTTAATAATACATAAGACGTTGCTTATCATAATTCCATTAGTGGGTTTAAATATCACTCACTAATTAGAAAATAATTTATTATAATAATGATAGTCATCCCTTTCCAAGTTGGGAGGAGATGTACATTTAGAGAGATTTGACTATCTGACCTTTGTAAATTTTAATCAAAAATAAGCATGCAAATTGAGCATTTTGCCTTTTGTTAATAAGTTGGCTAGCAAATCAATGCCCTACTTACTACCTATATAAGAATAGCTCGGGATTCTAATGAATAATTTTTTTGTTTGATGACCACTAAAAAACTAAAATTTAATTGGTCATCTTCATTATATACGAGTTGTTATTAAAGAATTTTAAAGCCCACAATACAAACATAACAGGTTTTATCCGTGATTGGTCTATCCATAAAGGATAATTTATAATATATCAATGTTACTAAAAAAACTTTAGTATTGCTTTCAAGACAATAAAATAAATAGATTCTTTGCAATATTTTTTTTTAATTTTTTTTATTTGTAATTGGTAATAAATAATCCGGGCAAAAAAAAAAAAAACTCTTGATATTACAATGTAATAAAGCATGTCTATGGTTTGAGACAGCATAAATATCCTATATCACAAGATGGCTAATTCGAGAGAGAGAAAAACATATCACATCCATAAAATAATACGTTGAAACCAATAAACGTACCATTTACTCACTATCTAATGAATGAATATTAAATATTAAAGTAAATTATAATTAAAATTTGTTCATGCGTTCAATAACATCATTCATTACTCATAACTTCTTTGGTCCAATAATCCTTTACATTATTTATAACTATGAAATAGTGCAAGTGTTATATGATTAACGTTTATAAATGTACCTTCTAGCTTTTACAACAAAAAACAATTTAAATAAATAAATAAAATCGAATTATTTCAGAGAGAACGCAAATGCGAAAAAATCTTGGCAAAATTATTATTATATATATTAATATATATAAAAATATGTGGAAATCGTATTATATCGTTATTATTATATTTGTTGCACCCAATGCCGATCATTTCTTAAATTGAATACCCTCTGTGTTCACACAATACATGGCAACGATTAGGTAAACATTATCAAAATTTTAATTCGCGCGACCTCAACGATCTTTTTTATATACGAAAATTTAATGAAAAATATTTTTTAATTGTAAAAACTCGGTAATGCATTTATAAGTCATTGTGATTTCTGGCATACTTTATTGCCATCAATCACGTGACAAAATGATGAATTTAACCCGACCAAAATCTAAGATGTCACTTTAAAACGTCATATCTTGGGTTATCCAAAATACATCATCAAGATCTATTGTTTGTTAAAAGTTACACGCATTGTCAATTAAGACGATTTTATTTTCTGAAAAAAAAAAAAAATCCATTGTATCATAGTAAACATAGTGAACATAAAAACATAAAATTAATGCAACATATACTCTCTGACTTGATTTTCTTTGTTTGCCATAAAATACATATGGAGAATGAGAAAAAACACATAGAAATATATTTAATTAAAACTTACTACATAATAAAATATTCTTATAAAAATTTGAACTTAAAAAAATTAAAAAAATCCTGTTAATTATTACTAAAAAATTTTTTTTCATATCAGACAATCAATCAAAATATAAAACAATGTAGAATTCAATTAATATTCAATCGATTAATTAATCAATTAACACATACCATTTATTATATCTTTTAAGAAGAGGTTTTGCTTTTTAACAATGAAATGATTGTTGATTTTTCTGTTCTAGTCAATAATTCATTTTGTAAAATTGCTTGGCAAGCAGCCTCCCAATCTTGTTGTGTCTTTTTTAGATATGCAATTTCACATGCCTCTCTAACTGCCATGGCAACTACTTTGGTACGGCTTGCATCATCTTCGATAATGATATTTCTATTTTGATTTGACATTGTTGTTATTTTAATAATTATAATAATTATACACGATCTTACATATCAAAAATCTTTAACTATTTATACAAAAGAGAGGAATATAATCTAAATTACAGATAAGAAAAAAATCTAGATATCATTCATTGCCTTTATTATTTTGTGATACTAATCTGTTAACAATTCCAAATTTTCCATCAAATAGATTGATCTAGACCTTCTTTGTGTCACTCATTATTCAGACAGAGTTGATGTGATTCACGTGATGCTGTGCATTCTCAAAGTAAATTCTAACCTTTTTATTTCATACAAAAATTCAAAGTTTCTTTTTGTATATTCAACGCATGGTTTAACTCGCACAACATTCAGTAAAGCTACTCGCTACTTCACAAATATTTCTAGTTATTTGTTAAAAATCTCTCGTTATTTATTTAGTAGAGCATTTAAAGTTCAATACAATATAAAACTCCTATACCATTATTTATTTGTTTGTTTGTTCTAATTATATAACAAGATTATGTAATTATATAACATTAAGACAAATCGGTGATTTATGATGAGTCGTAATCTATAATATCAATATCGATTTGAAAACCAATTACGGCACACAAACTACGTAATGTTATTAACAATATAATTTATTCTATACGTTTGTTGATATTTTTACTGCTAAGGAAAAAGCCATTCAACTGGTCATTATTGTTGTGAAAAAAAAAAAAATCTTTTTATATTCAATCCAAACAAATTTTATGTGCTCGACCGTGAGAATGTTTTTTATATCATCAATTTTCGAGTAAAAGTACATCTATAATAAATATCTATAAATTCAGTCGTCGCGCAGCATGCACATTAATAATGTACTGCGCGTCGACCGAAAGGGTTATTGTTTTTTAAAAACTTGCGTACTAATAACTTTCTTTCAGGGAATGTATACATATTATATATAATAATTGCTGAAATTTATTTAATAGAAAAGCAACTTACAACAACACAGATAATCAATTAAACTCTATAAATATCAAAAAGAATAGCGGAAACGAAGAATGGGCTTGAAACCCATTCATTAATTATTCCTTGGAATAAAAATATTTGTTATAACGTTGACATACAAAAAAAAATTAATATTTATTTTAAGCATCTAATTGGATAATCTTTCGCATAATTCAAACGATAATGTTGGTGTCGGATTCAGACAACAATAATAACAATAATAACAAAAATCTTGATATTGCTAAGAATGTTACGAAATAAATCGAAAACATGCCAACAAATATTTCTCTTCTATTTCTTCTGCTTCTTTTATTTCTAATTTTACATCTGAGTGGCTCTTTTCAACTTGCTTAAAAATCGGCTACAGGGTATAAAACGATGGATAGGGTTGTGTAAAACATCTCAATGCACAAAAATGCAGGGGAATGAATAGGGGCGGGTAAATCCCAAATTTATTTTGAACCAATAAATTGATATATAGTTTTTTATCACTGCCAAAAAATTTTACGTACTACCACATGTTATTTCATTCCCATTCAAAAATAAATGTTGTGTGCGTGAAAATCAAATTTGCGTCAATTTGATTAAATTTTGGGGTGGGAGTTTGAATCGGCGTGTAAAATTGAACGGGCGCAACGAGCGCGTGTAACATTAATAACCAAACAAATTTTGAATTTCTGGACGAAATTTACTCGCTGGTTTGAATACAAAATTCTGATTGGCTAATTTGAATTTCACGCGTGTGTGAATTTCAAATTGACGCAGATTTCAAATTCGGTGTGAAGAATTTTAAAATATACATTCTATATATTAACGTGTGATATTATTACTCCAGAAAATAAATTCTATGCCAAAAGTAATAAATTTGCTTATACTATACAAAAAATAAATACTTGCCATACTTTATAACCTATAAATTTTTATCAAAAATGTATGGTTTCTCCATACATTTTCCGATGTAATATGTACGGAATTATACATAAAAAATGTACTTTTCCGTACATATTTGTCCTGAAAATGTCCTGAAAATATGTACTCTATATTCATTTTCTAGGGCAAATATGTACGGAAAACGCTCTTTTAATGTATAATCCCGTACATATTCCATACGGAATATGCGTAAAATTTATGGAAAAACCATAATAATAATAATACATTTTCTGACAAAATCCTTTATAGGGTTGATGTGTGTACAACGGAAATTGCAGGTGAGTATTCTCCAGGAGGTATATTTGACGGCGGGTTCTCTAACTGGATGGAAGGTTAATTATGAACACTGGGAGGCCCGATATGTTGTATCCAGTGAAGATTGCAATGGGTACAAGCTTCTTTTGTAGTATTCCCAAAGTTCTATCAGAAACCATTTAAGAGAAAGGGATTGATCACAAGAATAGGAAATACCAATTATAAATAGTCTTGCTACTTCTTGGTATCCTGCTCCTTGTGTCCAAATTCTATCTGTCATTGGTCTGAGCCTTCGTTCTTGACTGTCTCTTGGATTCCTTGATTAATGGTGATTGATGCCAAACATGTAGCACACATAAACTTTTTGTGGCTACAGTTGGCACTTTATGGTCCAGGACCGGATGATTGGTAATTACCCAGCTTGATCACTATCCTAACATGTGAGTCACCTTAGATAAATATATCAATGTCAGGAAATCACACTTTAAAATAAATACACTAATTCATTAAATTCAAGATATGTTTACATCACTCGGATGGGTAATGGTAGGTTTTCATATAAGAAGCTACAGGTGCGAAATGTGTGATCAAAAATATTGGGAGAATGCCTGGGTTGGGAAAATTTTATTGGAAATCTTCAAAAAATATCTGACCAAAAAATTTTCTTAAATAATAATATGTATATTCACATTGCTAATACTTTATCAATCTATTTCCTTCTAGACCTTGTATATAGTGATAATAATAATAAATAGTGGTAACAGAAGTAATTGACCATTTTATTTTATTTTTTAAGTCATAGTACTGGTAACCATAGCAGTAGTAACATAGATTATAAATATAACTATTGAGATTTTACAATCCCTTAACAATAACAACAATAACAATATAGAATTTGTTGCATCAACTTGTGAATTAATATTTTACATTTTCTAAAATGAATAAATGAATAAAAAGATGTAATTCGAATAAAATGAATAATTCAAATAAGAAATTGTATTAGAAACAACAAGTAAAATTTTAATCTAAAATTTATACTGGAAAATGGTCAATTCCCAAAATTTTATCAGAATGCCTGGAATTTTATAATAGGATTTCGCACTCTGAGGAGCTATTGCAAGGCCTGGAGGATAAAAGGGCGAGAATGTTAAAATTGATTATAAACCAAGGAACAAACTGATCGAAGAATACAGTAGGCACTCGATATAGTGAAGTTTTGGCTAGTACAAATTTGGAAATTATCTTCAGAAAAATTGAATTTGATTGGATATTACCACAGATAATTTCCAAATTTGTACTAGCCAAAACTTCACTATATTGAGCATCAACTGTAGTTCTCTTACAAATACCAGTAGCAACTAGTATTGGACAGTTAAGAACTGGAACATCACCATTGCGAACATTAAAGCAAATGACCAATAATGCAACAAGAATGCTATGCTCTGTATTAGACATATCAATTATAAACATATTTCCATCATCATATTGTTGATACTTGTATCCATGACAAGGTACTTGACGTTTTAAAAACTTATTATATGTTTCATTGATACATTTGATCCAATCTGCAAAGGCAAATTGCAATTCTTATGAGTCAAAAATTGGATGCATCTTGAAATCACTTGTGTGATGTCTACCTGCTTGGTCTCATTTATTGATTCCTTTGGGAAACAAAGATGACAGACTTAATTAAACTAATTTTCTCAAACTTTTCAGAATCTGCTGCCTATTGGTGAGACATCTGAGCAAAAGAAAAATATAGACTTCTGAGTTTTACAAATGACTCTTGATATAAAAAAGTCACTAGGTCCAGCCTACCCACCTGTTTCCACCTGAATGAACTGTTCCATCCTCACTTGAATGAGTATCACTTCTCGAAAAAGGTTGGGACATTTGAGAGAAGATGAAAAAGAATAAATATAGATTGTTGACTTTATAAAAAAATGCAGAGTTCAGTAAGATGTCTTTTGATATCAAGACATTTTTTGATGCTTTTCTTATATCAAGAATCTTTTTATATCAAAACTGACTTAAATTGTAACTAAAACATCTAAATTATTATTATCACTGGATATAGCAAAGAATATTGGTTTGTCAAATACTTAATCAAATAAGTTTCCTGATCAGAAAAAATAGCTTATACAGTCAAACCCCCATAAATGCACCCTCCATAAATGCACACCCTCCACAAATGCATGCTATGTCTTGGTCCCAACCTCAGGACTTAGGGATAAATGCACACCCTCCATACTCTACACTGCACAGTATTTTTCAGTCCACTCATGAAAACTCTCTCCATAAATGCACCCACGTGACTAATATCATGTAACTAGTATAAATTTAGAAATAATCAGCAAAATTTTTTGATTGATTGAATAATTCCAATCAGTGTTCGAAATGCGGAATCTGAGCACGCTAACCAAATATGGAAATTAACAGCAGATAATTTCTAAAATTAGATTAGTTTTATGACAAGGCGCAGTCAAATTTCGAACACTGATTCCAATATGTAATAATCCAATTGAATTTCACGACTTTGTGTCACTAAATGAACTTTCATCCTATTTGATAAAATGCAAGTTGGTGAAATTTTGAATATCTCTAAAGAGAATATTGTCTGACTGTAATACTAATTCTTTTGTGCGAAATTAGCCAATCAAACATGGGAGCGGTGTTTAGGTGAACAATTCCTTTTATTTTCACATCATCACAACATCATCATTATCTTTTAGACATCAAATGTCAGATAACAGTTCAAGCTCTGGCTCTATAATAAAATTTTTCATTTGACTCATGGTGGGCTTCAATAATTGATTTGCTATGGACAAAACCCTATATTTAATAATTAAATATAATTTTGTTAATCAGTGAATCAATCAACATAAAGTAATATGTTCTGTCTTAAATACCTTCTAAAACAGTTACATCTTGATTTACCACTATATTAATATGGTTTGATTTCACTGATTTATACTACAGATTTTTTTCAAGCTAGGATATTAATATTTTATCATTGGACAAATTTTGATTTTATCACAATTATCACTAAAATTTTAATTAAGGAAATCGACCATGTCTTGTTTAACAGCAACGCTTTTATTTATGTATTTGTTTATTTTGTTTAGAAATTATCAATAAAAGAAAAGTAAATACAGAAATCGTTTTTAATTTAATCCTTTTATATCAAGGAAAAATCTATATAGTCTTTCCTAAAACCTAATTAAATAAAAATTTTTTAAAGATGTTTAAGGATTAAATATATAAATATATATAAATTAACAAAAAATACAACATAAATTTCTTACCAAAGCTAATAAGGCCATTCTTACAAACATTCCATATCTCATTTGTCGGAAATAAGCTGCTCGTTCATCAAAATCTACTTCTGGATCAATTTCGTTTATTCTTGGAAGTGGATGCATTATAATCATTTGGAATTTACATTTTCTTAACGTAGAATTATTTATCACATAAGCATCTTTGATTTTTTCATATTCTGCAGCATCCGAAAATCGCTCGCGCTGTATTCTTGTCACATAAAGTACATCTGTATCGGCAATTATATCATCCAAATCTGTATATTCGTTTTGTTGTATATTGCTAATTTTACGTATTTCATTTTTGATTTGAGTTGGCATACATAATGAATTTGGACTAACATAATTAAGTTTAACGTGATATTGTGCCAATATTCGAACTAAACTATGTACTGTACGTCCGTTCTTTAAGTCACCAACTAAAGTTATTGTCAACCCATTTACAGTGCCTAATTCTTCACGTATTGTATAAACGTCAAGGAATGCCTTGATAGTTTATATGTATAAATAAATAAATAAATAAATAAATAAATAAATAAATATATATTAAAAAAAATAGTATCAAGAAAAAAGAAAATATATTTACTGACTTGTGTAGGATGCTCGCCAGTACCATCACCAGCATTTATAATAGGGACTTGAGAATTTTTTGCTGCAGTTTTGGCGCTTCCTGGTTCTGGATGTCGTAAAATTATGATGTCCCCATAAGATCCAACAGTTCTAATAGTGTCTGGAAGAGATTCACCTTTAGCAATTGATGAACTATCAGTCTTAATTGCAACCACCTTTCCACCTAATCTATACATGGCTGCTTCAAAAGAAGCAGAAGTCCTTGTAGATGGTTCATAAAATAATGTAAACATTATTCGACCTTGTAAAAGATTTATTGAACCATAACGTTCAACTAATGTACGCATTTCATTAGCAATTCCAAATAACAGATGAAGATCGTTGCGGGAAAATGGTTTGGCAGAAATAATATGTTTACGCAAGAAAGTTGAATTATTTATGGTTGATATGAAATTTCTATAATTTATATTTAAAAATATAAATAAATATAAATTTAATTTTTTTATATATTATTGATATCAATGAATTGATTATTCCTAAATTATAAAAACTTACGAAGGTAAAATAGAATGTGTAATATCAAGTGTAATTTCTGGCGGTGAAAATATTAATAAATTCTCTTTTGGAGAAAGTGATGATGGTGAAATCAGTTCAGAAACATTGCCAGAAGTATGATGCTGTGTTTGCGTTTGAATTCTTGTTGTTTCTTTTTTGATTAATGATTCTTTAACAACAGATGGTTTGACTTTAAGTCCAGTTGATAAAGAGGTTTTTGTGACTTTAGTAAAATCTTTATTTTTGGTTTCCAAAACATGTGGGACTATTGTAGTAGTGTTTATCAGTCCTAGTGTTGTTTGTCTTTTAGTTTTAAAGTCAATATCTAAAATTTCAAAATCTGTTTTACGAGATATAGCCTCAATAAACAATTTAGCACATTTCACATTGGTTATTAATGGAATGTCAAAATCCACCGCCATCCTTCGGGTGAGGTAACCTTTACTCATATAACTAGCTGGTCGACGATATTTGTTTTTGGATGGTAAGTTAATATATAGGTCTAACAAATTGTTTGCCAAGTATTGTTGAAGTGAATATTCTGACTTTGATTCATCCTCAGATGTATCGAAAGTCTCTAAATACTTTACAGGTATTCCATGTTCTTGCATAAAATCAAAAGTACCAGAAGTTGCAAATAGATTGAATCCTATCTGATGAAGTCTTTGTACTGATGGTAAAATTTCATTTTTTTCTTTATATGAACCTATAGAGAGTAATATATTTTTTTTAGGTAATGTAAACCCTGTGGAAATCAATGCCTTAAGATATGCTTCATATTTGTCATGACCAAAACATGCAACCTCGCCAGTTGATGCCATTTCAACACCAAGGATTGGGTCTGCGCCTGATAAACGGCTAAAACTAAATTGGGGCACCTTTACAGCTACATAATTTTCTGGCAAATGGAACTCTGGGTGTGGTTCCACATTGATTCCCAACATTACTAATGTTGCCATTTCAATCAAATCAATTCCCATAACTTTTGACGCAAATGGAAATGATCTAGATGCACGAATATTACATTCTATAACTTTTATATCATTATTCTTTGCAATAAACTGTATATTAAATGGGCCTGTTACATTAAGTGCATCACTAATCATTCTTGTGGCCTCTTCAATTTTCTCTACAGTTTCTGGGTCAAGATCTTGAGGTGGCAAAACAAGTGTGGCATCTCCCGAATGTACACCTGCATTTTCAACATGTTCTGAAATTACATGCATTATAACTGTTCCTTCGTGTGCAATTGCATCCACTTCGATTTCTTTTGCTTCTTCAATATACTTGGAAATTACAACGGGATGTTCTCTGGACACGGCTGTTGCTTGATTAAGATAATTTGAAAGGTCATCTGAAGAATATACTACATTCATAGCTGCACCAGATAAAACATATGAAGGCCGTACCAAAACTGGAAAACTAACATTCTTGCAAAAAATTTGCGCGTCTTCATCATTTGTCAATTCTTTCCATCTAGGTTGGTCAACTCCAATTTGATCTAACATACGAGAAAATTTATATCTATTTTCTGCACGATCAATCATTTCAGGTGAGGTTCCAAAAATTGTTACGTTTTGACGATGTAAATGAAGTGCAATATTGTTTGGAATCTGCCCTCCCATAGAAATGATAACACCGCATGAACTTTCAATCTCATAAATATCTAATACACGTTCAAAAGTAATGTTTTCAAAATATAGCCTGTCTGCTTCATCATAGTCAGTGCTGACGGTTTCCGGATTATAGTTGACCATAATTGTTTTGAAGTTGTTTTCACGGAGAGTACGGATTGCTCGTACAGCGCACCAATCAAATTCAACAGAACTACCTATACGATAAACACCAGAACCAAGTACCATGACTCCTTTTTCTTCAAAACTAATATCATTTTCGATAGCATTATAGGTAATATAAAGGTAATTTGTCTTTGCTGGAAATTCAGCAGCAACTAAAGATATTTCATTTGATAAATCATTAAGTTAATTACTATACTCAAAAAACATACATATATCTTAATAAAAATACCTGTGTCAATCTGCTTAACAAAAGGGATTATTCCATGCCCTTTTCTTAGACTTCTAATGGCAAGCTCACTACAACTAATGATGTTTGCAATCTGACGATCAGAAAATCCCAATTGTTTAGCAGTTAAAATTATATCACGTGAAATATTGGAATGATTGTAAGCTGCTAATTCTTGTTCAAATTCTGCAATATTTTTTAATTTGTGCAAAAACCATTTGTCTATCTTAGTAAATTCCCAAATTTGATCCACTGTGTAACCTTCATGCAATGCATTTGCAATTGCAAAAAGACGTAAATCAGAAGGATTTATGAGTTCCTCATCAATAGATGCAACCAAACCGTTCTTTTAAAAAATAGTATTTATTAAATGATTTGTTAATTGGTCAAGCAATAAAAAATATTTTAACAAACCTTGCTAAAACC